GAGGTTTCCTCCTCATCTTGGAAATTGTTCAAAGACTTCCAGGATTTCCAAGACCTGTTTTTTGTGGCTGTGAGTGCAGGCCCCAGCTGCAGAAGTGATTGCTGTTCCTTTCAGTTCTAGCCAACACAGCCAAGTCTCTTCAAATCCTTTTGGGAGGTGCAGGTGCAGCTTATCAAGGCTTTCCCAACGTTTTATATCATCCTCATCTGCCTGGGCATCCTTGTTCATTATCATCAGGCTGTTGTAGGTCACAGGCAGGATCCATCTGTAGGAAAGGGCCAAAGGGATTAAGCTCTCACTCTTCCCTGGCTGCCATCACTCCTGGGTGTCACAGGAGCATCCAGAGTCGGGCTGGATTCAGGGGTGGGGGCCACAAGCAGTTGAGTCATCCAGGCAAGAACATTTCCTCCTCCTCAGTGCTCCAGCTCTGCCTCCTTCATCCAGCACTTGCATTTTCATCATTTCCAGAACAAGTTCTGAGAGACAGGCTCGTTCGTGGTGCTCCGTCCAGGAGATCTTGATGGCGACTCCCTCCATGATCCAGCTGCTCAGGGTGCACAGGGCATGGCCAGCACAGTGCTGAAGACCAAATGACCTGCCCTAGTCACAAAAGAGCCTTGTGTCAGCATCACACACCTGCCAGAGGGGTGGGACAGGCTGGTGCTGCACTGTGGAGCCTGGCTCTGTGCCCTGGCCGTGCTGCCATGGCCGGGGACTGTCCTCCACCTTTGTGTCCCACAGTCCACACTCAGGTGGCTCACGGGTGACTCCTGAGCTGGGAAACCTCTGGAGCCAGTTCTTCCAAATATGGAGAGATTGGGTTTTGCAAGCAGTACTTCCTGCTTCAGGGAAAAGGAGAAGTGTGGTGGTTCAGGGGGTTCTGAGGAAACCAAGTGCTGTTACCAAGTGGGTTACATTGAGAACTAAGCTGCATCCAGTGGCTCAGAAGAAGGTCTGAGTACTTTGTCCCCATTATTTCAATGCCCCGGTTCCATTGAGGAAATACTGAGTCTATGCCATCAGCACTGTCATCACTATCAAGTCCCCCCCATCCCAATTTGGACTGTCTGGAACCACTTGAGTCTTCACCAATACGTTGGAGGCAGCTGGACCTCTCCTGACAAACATTTCCTTGGTGGAAATGGTGGATGTTAACAGGCCATGGGACATGGGACGTGTCTTTCCATCCCTACAGGCTGCTCAGGAGTGATTTCAGGAGTGGAAGCCCCACAGTGGATGCCCAGGGGTGACATTCAGCTCTCATTGAGCCTGTGGGGATTGTTGGCTCCAGGCCTGGGCTCTATGGCAACAGGAACCCGAGAACCAGAGCAGAGACAGTTGCCATCTGAAGTAACATATTTGACAAAGAGATGGAAGAGTTTATAAGACATACTAGTCTTTTTTTATAAATTATAACCTTTTTATAGGAGTGCTTTTCAAGGGTGATGGTCAGCATTTCAGGTAGATAACAGAATAGCCCTTTATTCACAGTTGTAGTACTTGCTCATCATTTATTTGATCCTAGTTAATGTTTATTCAGTTTATAGTACTGAGTAACTGAGGCACAACTGTTGATTTTGTTTGTGGCCTCAAACAACAGATGATGGAGATCCAGAGGGTTTCCTTAAGAGCTCACAGGTGACTTGCAGACCTCTGGTGTGCCCAAGTCCTGCTCAGGTGCCTCACAGAATCATAGGATATCCTGAGTTGGAAGGGACCCCTGAGGATCATCCAGTCCAACTCCTGGCCCTGCACAGACACTCCAACAATCCCACCCCGTCCCCGAGGGCACTGTCCAAACCCTCCTGGAGCTCTGGCAGCCTTGGGGCTGTGCCCACTGCCCTGGGGAGCCTGGTCAGTGCCAACCACCCTCTAGGGGAAGAACCTTTCCCTGAGATCCAACCTGAACCTCCCCTGGCACAGCTGCAGCTGTTCCATGGCTCCATCAGCAGCAGTGCTGACAGAGGATTGGCAACTGCAGGAACTCTCCAGTTATTCCTTCACATCCCAGGGGTGAAAAGGAGAAGAATTGGAGCACAGGGGGCTTTGTCAGAAGGGTTAAGTCCACATTCTTAGAAATCTTACCATCAGTGCGGTTTTCAGACATCCTTCCTTCACCAGTTTGGAGGAAGTTGAGCTCAGAGTAAGTCACTGGGACGTGAAGTGATGCAAACCCCAGTTCCAGCTACCAAGGAAGAAACTGCAGTGCAAGCAGGTTTTGAGGCAGCACCACGCAAATTCTTAAGAAATAGTTATCACAGATCATTAAAACCTGAAAACAGCTGAAAGGGAAGCCAAGAAAAATCTACAATTCACCAATAAAACAGCTTTAGAAATGGAGCGGGTCCTCAAAGCAGTGATGTAGCTGAGTCCTGACCTTATGTTTGAATCAAAACTTGGTCAGTACACTCACCTCAGTGCCAGGTTTCCCTGGTACAATTCCTGAAGGACGAAAGCAATGTAAGCTTTTCAACCAGGAGAGAGCAACAGATAAATTCCATCTGTCGAGGCTCTGTTTTCTGCAGGCACCAAAAAATGTCAAGGAACAATTTGTTGCCATTTGTGTGAGGTTGTTAAGCAACATGAAACTCAAATATTGTGCCCATTCAGTTGGTTTTGGAGCAACCTAATTTGAGAAATGGAGAGAGTAACTTTGGTGTGATTCACAGGCTTGCACTGATTCAGTGTCCCAGGGCACACGAGGGTAAGAGCTGCACATGCCGTGGTTGGTTTGGGATCTGCCGTGGGAAGGTCGCAGCAGGTGTGGGGATGGGTGGTTCTATGGCATCTTTTAGGATTATCAAGGAGACAGGATTACAGTATCCCTGATGTTGCCTGTTTTGGAGAGGTGTTTACAAGTATCAGCAGCACTTGGTGTTTGTAGCGGAGAACCTTCCAACCTCTTGCTCGTCTTGGTGAATGGTGGATCTGTGTGAAGCATCCCAGTGTCAGCAAGGAGGTGGTGGGGATGGAAACCACAGCATTATGTGGTGGTTACAGGGAATAATACGTGGATTTCCTGTGGGAATTAGTACCAGAGTTCAGTGGTGGTGGAGTCTGGTCTTGGTTTGGCACTGACCAGGCTCCCCAGGGCAGTGGGCACAGCCCCAAGGCTGCCAGAGCTCCAGGAGCGTTTGGACAATTCCCTCAGGGACAGGGTGGGATTGCTGGGGTGTCTGTGCAGGGCCAGGAGCTGGACTGGGGGTCCCTTCCCACTCAGATATTCTGTGATTCTGGTGTTAAGGGGAGGTGGGAAGTGGCCGGGAAGGCGCTGGGACTGAGGAGCCCTCACTCCACCCCTTGTCCCCAGGTGACACTGCAGCAGTGTTGGGAGGTCAAGCTGCAGCTCTGAAGAGGGGCTGGGAGCGTTTGTTCCTTCCCGATGTATTTGGGATGTAAAGCACAGGTGACACTGAGCCTGTTGTCGAGGGACAGGCACACCAGAGGTGTCACCAGCACCTGCAGCTCAGCACAGACATCCCACCTCGCTCGGACCCACCCGGCTCGGGCAGGGCAGGCGGGGCCGGGGCTCGCTGCGGGGGCCCCGGGGAGGTTCCTCCACAGCGTCCCCCACCTCTGGTGTGTTCTGTCTCCCAGGTTGGACTTCAACGGGTTCTACACGGAGCGCCTGGAGCACATGTCGGCCGAGCGCAGCCAGAAGGCAGCGCCGCTGCTGCCCCGCCTGGCCGTGCCCGCCCAGTGAGCCGGGACCTCCCTCCGCATCCACAGGGGGAGCTGGAAACCAGCCGAGGGCTGTCCCGGAGACACGGGGGAACGTTCAGTCTCCTGAGATGTGTGTAGTGAAACTTGTTCTTCCGACAGGCTTTTTGTTTAGTCGTCTTTTTTTTTTTTTTTTTTTTTACTGTGTTGTACAATGACGTGTCTGTGTGTTGTAAAATAAATTAAACAACAACAACAAAAAATCAGGGTTATTTTGTCTGTAAACAGGGTGCACGTTTTTGTGGCTGCCCCATCCCTGGAAATGTCCAAGGCCAGGTTGGACAGGGCTTGGAGCAACCTGGGCTAGTGGAAGGTGTCCCTGCCCATGGCAGGGCTGGAATGCGATGAGTTCTGAGGGCCTTTCCAACCCAAACATTGTATGGGCTGAGCCCTCAGCAGAGGAGTTTCAGGGAGCCTTAACAAGAGTCATGCAGCTCTTAAGTTTGCCTGAGCCAGTTTGGGAGCAGGTGAGGTAGAGCCTGGAAGAGAAATGTCTCCCAGGGACAAGGGGTAACCAAAACACGTGCCAGGAACCAAGGGGCAAGAGTGGGAACCTGGGCACGTGTGTAAGGGCTGTGGGCACAGGGCTGAGTGCTCCTGGTGGTGACCTGCCCTTCCTCACTCCTTCACAAGGACCTTTGGAGTTCATTGGAGGGAAGAGCCAGGTTGTCTGTGCTCCATGGCCTAAAGCTGGACCTCCAGGGAGAGAGTGGAGACCACCAGCGAGCACCGAGTCTCAGCAGAAGTCATGGATAGTTATGAAATGCTCATTTTTGAAACCAGTGCCCCATGGAACTCCCTAATACCACGTGGACCCTCCCCAATGTGCCACAGACCCTCCTCATACCCCGTGAATCCTCCCCGGTGCGCTGTGGGTCCTTTCCAGTTCTCCACGGACCTCCACGATGTCCCGTGGGCCATCCCCGGTGCCCCATGGATCCTCCTCAGTGCCCCATGGACCCCTCCCCGATGCCCCGTGGACCCTCCCCTGATGCCCCACGGACCCTCCCGACGCCCCGTGGACCACCCTCAGTGCCCCACAGCCCCCCAGGCCACCCCCCAGATGCCCAGTGGACAGTCCCGCAGTGCCCCACGCGGCCCGGGATGTCCCGTGGGCAGCCCCCGAGGCCGCGCGTCCCCCCGCGGTCCCCCCGGTCCCCCCCGCCGTGGGCGGCCCGTCCCGCCCGCCCCGCCCCGTCCCGTCCGCGGGTGTCGGTGAGTCACGGCGGGCGGGGGCTGCCGGCGGCGCGGCGAGCGGGGGCACGGCGGGACCTCCGAGCATGGCCCCGCCGCTCCGCCTGCCGCTGCTGATGCTGCCGGCGCTGCTGCCGATGCTGCTGATGCCGCCGGCCCGAGGTGAGCGGGGGGTCCCCCGGGGGGGTCGGCGGCCGCGGGACGGGGCGGGCGGGGAGTTCGGGGGGCGTGCGGCAGGAGCGCGGAGCCTCGGGGGTCCTCGGCGCGGGGCAGGGGTGGAGGGGCAGGGATGGAGGCACTGGGCTGGAGGTGCCGGGCTGGAGGTACCGGGCCATGGGGATGCTTTTCCCGGCGAGAACGAAGGGGACGCGCGGGGCGGCTCTCCGTGGGGGGAGGTCCCGGGAGGGTACCGCTGTCCTCACCGCCCCGAGGACAAGGATGATGGGGAAGGGGCGCCCGGGGCCAGGTTCGCCCCCACGGGGACGCTCCCGGAGCCCCCCGGGCCCGCCGCTCCGTGGAGGCACCTCGGGGAGGATGAGAGGGTTCGCCGCCGGCGGCCCGCGGCGAGCCGGGGGTCGCTCATGACTCACCCAATGAGGGGGCGTCCGGCTCCCACCCGTGGGCGAGGACCGTGGGCACCCCCAGAGCGAGCACCGTCCGACCCCGGCGTTTGGCGATCGCGGGGAAGGCGAAGGGTTTATGGCAGAAATTCTCCGCTCCGACATCCAAGGAGAGGCTGGGAGGGGGCTGAGCCACCCAGGCACCAGCCGCTCTCCCAAACAGCCCCCACAGCCGCCAGACGCCGAGTCACACGCGGTGGCATCACGATGGGGAGCTGGAAAACCTCCCTCCTTATTGGCGCACCGGGGGCTCGGCGGGGTTTTCCAGCCCCAAAGGGACTTGCTCTCCCGCAGGTGATGCTGAGCTGTCTGTGGGCGCCGGGTTGGGGCGGGGGGGTCAGAACATCCCCGGAGCCCGTCAGGGAGTTGTGTTCCCAGCAGGTATTTCAGGACTTGCTATTTGGGCTCTTTCCTGCGCCTTCATTTTGGCCGCTTCCATTGCCTCCTGGCTTCAGATCCAAGGGAACAGCATGAAGCTGTGCCAGGGGAGGTTTAGGTTGGATATTAGGAAAAGGCTCTTCCCCCAGAGGGTGCTTGGCACTGACCAGGCTCCCCAGGGCAGTGGGCACAGCCCCAAGGCTGCCAGAGCTCCAGGAGGGTTTGGACAACGCTCTGAGGGTCAGGGTGGGATTGTTGGGGTGTCCTGGGCAGGGCCAGGAGCTGGACTGGATGATCCTTAGGGGTCCCCTCCAGCGCAGGATATTCTATGACTGGGTTGTTCCTGGGCATCCTGCTCAAAGCCCTTTGGCTTTTCCCAGGTGCCACTGCTGGGCTGGCAGAAACGCTCGCCCACATCGAAAAGTACGAGACGGTGACGCCGCGAGAGGTGCCAGTGCCCCGGAGAAAGAGGGACCTCTCTGCACCTCGGGTGAGTAGCATTGATCAGATCAGCTTTTCCAGGCTGTTTTGGGTCCAATTAGGACCTTCAGAGGGTGGGGTGCACTCTTGGAGGGAGGGAACTTTCTCCTGGGCTTTCTTCGGAGACGTGACCCAGCGGTGCCACCTCTTGTAGCCTTGCAGTGATCTTGTGACATCTGGTCTTTCCTTAAGGAAGGGTTTGAGAAGCCTCGTGGAGCTGTAAGCACTTTTCTTGCTGTGTTTGCTGAAGTTGGTGTGGGTTTTTTTGTCCTTTGGGACAGAGAAATAAGAATCAGAAAGTTGCAGAAATCCACATGAAAAAAAGCCAGTGCTGTTTTTCTTGGGAAACCTGGCAATTTGGGGGAAGGAATGGGGTTTGAGTCAGGAGTTTGGAGTGCTTGGTGTTGACGTCTGTAGGATGATGGGCTTGCCCTCAAACTTTTCTCGTTTCCTTAAAGGGAAATTTGGCCAATTTTTTTTTGATTCATTTTCTAGACACGAAAAGCACCGATTTTAGCACCTGAGGGGATGGACGAGCTGGGGACATGTATTCCCTAGTGCCATACAGCACGTTCCTCTGTGATTCAAACCCTTCCTGATAAACTAGCTTCAAAAACACTCCCTGAAAGCATCTGTTTTCCCTGCTCTAGAAACCTAAACTTGTCCACGAGATAAACATTCCCCAGGCTATTTAGAGACGCCATCTGTGCCGGGCGCGCCGGGCAGCTCTGCACGATCCCCCTGGAAAGGGCAGCTCACCCATCCCAGGATCCCTCTGGGGAAGAGATCTGCCTTGAGCTGTGTGCTTTGGGACTACCATGGGGGCTGTCTGCTGGGTGGCACCTGCATTTGGGCTTGGGTTGGGTGGTCCTTGGAGGTCCCAAACCTGCCGTGTTGAGGGGATGAGGTCTCCTGCCTTCTGAGCTGTTTTCCTCCTCTTGGGGAGAGGTTGGGTTTGCTCTCCTGGTAACCTGGACGGAGAAGAGGTTCCCAGCGTGGCTTGACCACCACCAAACCCCTCTTTGACATGGAGGTGGGTGTTCCTCATGCCCTGTAGCTGTCTCTGGCTGGGACAGACACAGGTCAGGAGCTGTGGAGCGACTGGGACACGTGGGATCGGTCCCTCAGAGCATCTGCCCAGGTGAGGGTGAAGCACAGTGGCTCCCCTCTGGCTTTGACTAGATCCAAATGTTCACCCCTGCAGACAGGGTGGAGACCTGGGTCCTGCAGGGCAGGATCTCCTGGACAGCAGCTTTTCCACCGGTCACAGGCTTTTCAGCAGGGGCACATGTGGCAAACCTGGATTCTTCATGGAAAGGAACCTAAAAAAGTGATCCCTGTCCCTACTGCAAGGCCTGTTGCCCCTTCCCATCCAGGGAAGAAACACCCTGTGCTGGGATGGGATGGGACATCCCATCCCCATCCTCTGCAAGGTCTCTGGGTCTCTTCCTGAGCCCAGCTGGAAGAAATCCCCCCTCTCTGTGCTCTGTGGCCGTGGCTCTGCTGTGCTGGCTCAGCACAACCATGGGGCTCACAGGGCAGCTCCCAAAGCCTTCCCATCTGGAAGCCTTGCACAGCCCATGCTAATGAGGAGGGGGGTGATTCAGAGAAGGTTTATCCGGACTTTTTATTTTAAACTTGCCCTGCGGTTGTCTCCAAGAGCCGGGCCCTGACCCACCACCCCCTTCCAAGTGCTTTCCTGCTGTTCCTTAAGACCTCTTCTGGCCCTGGCTTTGCCAACAATAACAAAGGATCTCTTTGTTGGCGGACACGGGACGGGACGGCCACGTCTGGAGGGAGACGCTGTTCATAAGAGAAGAATTTTCCAGGGAGCCGGGAGCGTGCTGGCACACCAACGGGGTTGGGAATGCAAACCAGGTAGAATCAGGGCAGCTGAGTGACAGGCAAACACTCTCACCTGGCCCCACTGGCGCTGAGTCAGCCCCGGCTCCTTGCAGGGTGCAAATCATCCCCCTGGGAGTGCTGAGCCATGGGATGACAGTGGGTGCTGTCATCCTTCCTGGGGAGAGGCACCACACCTCATCCCTGAGGAATGCTGGCCCCGTGGGAAAGGCTTGCTTTGCCTTTGGCTCAGCTCTCCACACCTGGATCCTGCAAGAGCTGAGGATGTGCCCTCAGGAGAAGTAGATGTGTCCTCAGGAGTAGATGTGTCCTCAGGAGAGGTGGATGTGCCCTCAGGAGAAGTAGATGTGCCCTCAGGAGAGGTGGATGTGCCCTCAGGAGAGGTCTCGAAGTGGCTGAGGAGGTCCCTGGTGCCAAGCCTGACATGGGGCATTGTGAAAGGGACTGTCAGTCTCTCCCAGCGGCCCCAGTGGGACAGGACCTCTGGAGGTCTGTCCCAGCCCCTGCAGGTGGAGATCACAAGATATCCCAGAGGGAAACACTTTTTCTGGAGGAACATCTCCATCCTGAGGGTTCAGGGCCCAGCTGGCTGAGCCACAGCCACCCTGTCCCAGCCACAGTGACAGGAGGTTGGGCTTGAGATGCCTTGAGGTCCCTTCCACTGGCACCAGGGGATCTGGGTCATGGTGATGCTAAAATGTGCTCCCAAAGGCTGAGGAGGACCAGGGGAAGGTTGTTCTCTAACAGTGGCATGTCAGATTAGTCAGGGAGGAGGAAGTCACTGCTGATAAGATCCAGAGGGATCTTTGTGGTTCAGCTGGTGAGTAAGTGCTGAACTCAGCCCCCAAAAAAGGAGCTCTGTGACTGATGAGTAGGAAACCTCAGCCCCTGGCACGACCATCTGCAGCCATGTGTCAGACACGGGAAACCAGGCTTTGCTGACTCCGTCTCTTTGCGGGTGACCTGTTCTTTATCTCAGGATGTGCCGGGGATTTGCGTTATTGCCCACATGCTTTCTTCCTTCTCTTCTGATTTCCTGTGTCTTTGCTGGATGCCTCCAGGGGGAGCAGCCAGGCTCCCCCCCGTCCCGCAGCCGCCCTCAGAGGGGCACATCAGACTCCGTCCCCTTTCTGGGCAGGTCGGGGGCCGAGGGGTCTCTCCTGTGTAGCCCTTTCTCCTGCTGACGGGGGGTCTCTGGTGGCTTCTGTCTCCCATCCAGAGCACGTACCCGGACCGTGTCCTCTACAGCGTCCGTGCCGAAGGCAGGGAATACCTCCTGTGGCTGGAGAAGAACAGGTGAGTGCAGGTGGGCACGCAGGGAGGCTGGGGAGGGGGGGGCTTGCACCCCACCGTTGCCGTGAGCATCCATTCTCCCAGGTCTGCTGTCACTGCACCAGTCAGCTGAGCCTCAGCCCAGAGCGTTTTTCTCCCTCGTTGCCAAACCCGCGCGGGGAGGGCACGGTCCCACCATATCCACCCTGACCAAGCTCATCCCAAAGCTTTCCGTCCTCTCCCCCGCAGCGGGGTCGCTGCTGACGCCCGTTCCCGTCCCGCAGGGCGCTGCTGGGGCAGCACTACACCGAGACACACTACTCTGCCGACGGCACGGAGGTCACCGAGCGGCCCGACACTCAGGTACGGGCTGGCTGCGGGGGAAGCAGCCCCTCCCCTCCTGGGGGTCCCGTCACGCCGGTAGCTGGTGCAGACCCCCCACATCTCTGCTCTCTCCCGGTGCCAGGATCACTGCTTCTACCAGGGCCACGTGCGGGGCCACGCCGGCTCGGCAGCGAGCATCAGCACCTGCCGCGGGCTCAGGTAGGACCCCCGACCCCCCGGGCACTGCCCGGCTCCCAGCCTGGCCCTGGCACATGGCCACGGTGAGCTGGTGTGGCTGAGCACAACCAGAGCCGGGCCGATGGAGGGAGACCTCAGCTTTCCCTGGCGGAAGAGAAGATGACATCCCTTTTCCTGCTGGAGGTGCTGCTCCCGGCTTGGTGCCCAGCAGGAAGGGCACACGGCTCTTTGGGGGGCTGACTCACGGCAACGGGGTGAGACTGGAGACCTGAGCACCACAGAGCTCCGGGCAGGAGTGCCCTCCCTGGGCAGCAAGGCGCAGCTTGTCCCTGATCCATCCAAAATCGTTCAGTCCCTGAACCCCGGGACATTCCTGCTGCCCCAAGTGCTGGATACTCCCCGTGCTACCAGCTGTGGGTGCTGTGCCGCAGTTTGCCCCCTCCCAGCCCAGCAGCCAGTTTGGCAGCTGTATTTTCATGGAATCGCAGAATCCCAGAATGGTCTGGGTTGGAAGGGACCTTAAAGCTCATTTCATTCTACCCCTCTGCCATGGGTGGGGACACCTTCCACTAGCCCAGGTTGCTTCAATCCCCGTCCAACCTGGCCTTGGACGCCTCCAGGGATGGAGCACATGTACAGGCACTTTCAGGGGTGCGTGTGGGGTCTGTCCGTGTCCTGCTGGATATCTCCCCAACCTGATGCCCGCCCTCTCTCTCTCCAGAGGGTTTTTCCGGGTGAACGAGACCACGTTCCTGCTGGAGCCTCTGGAGGGGGCCGTGTCGGGCCGGCACGCTCTGTACCGAGCCGCTCACCTGCGGGAGAAGCGCCGCGCCTGCCGCGAGTCCGGGGACACCCTGGAGTACGACCGCGAGCCGAAAATCCCTGCAGCCATGAAGCTCTACCACTGGGTGAGGGATTGCATCGCTCCTCCTTCCTGCAGCTGAGTTTGCAGGAGCCTGGCTCCTGGGAAGTCCGCTGGGGGGGTTCCATGCCTTTGGAGATGCCCCCCTCCCATGCGCTGTCGGTTGGGTACCCAAATACGGGCGGCTCCTGATGGGAACGGGTCCTCGGACCCTGTACCATCATCACGAGCATCGTCCTACCCCGTGAGCTCAGTGGTGCCTGCAGAGCCTATCTTGTGGCTTATCCCAGTAGCAGGCTTACATTTTCCAGCATATAAACTGGAAGACGCTTGAAACAGCCAGAGAAGTGATATCAGAGAGCCGAGTGAGGAGGCCTGCTAGCCTTGGAAGATACCCCAAAATCCAACACACCCCATGGCAGGGTCAACTGCCTGGCTGGGCAAGCTGCAAGCCGAGCCTCACTTCCCTCTTCCCTTGCAGAAGTCGGGTCCGATACACAAAGGTCCCCGGTACGTGGAGCTGGTCCTTGTTGCTGATAATGAGGAGGTAAATGGGGTGGGGGGCGAGCTGGTGCCTGTGGGTTTGCTGCCATCCTCTGCACTGAGGGGCTCAAAGCCAGCCTGGAAATTTCTCTGTGTCCTTCCCATAGTTCAGGAAGCACAAGGACCTGCGCACGGTGCAGAACCGCATGAAGGAAATCGTGAACCACGTGGACAAGGTGAGTACTCCCAGCTCCCACATGTGTCCTGCAGTGCCAGTGTGGACAGAGGGGGCAGAGGAGAGGTTGACATGGGTGGGGTGGTGGAACTGGAGCTGATCTCAGGCCCGTGGGTGGGCTGCTGCACACCCCTTGGCCAACAGGGTGTGCAGGGTGGACACGACGAGGGGCTCAGCCCTGTCCATGAGGGAAGGGGGGGGAAATTTTGTCCTGTAAAGCCTGGGAGCACATCCCACGGCCACTCTCATGGTGGAGTGGGTGCTAACAAGAGGACCCCCATGGTGGGGCTCCTGCTTGCCTTGCTTCAGCTTCACTTGTTGTTTGGCACCATAGGAGAAGCATCCCGGCCTTCACCAGCCAAGAGGGAGCTCAGAGGTGCCAGGGGAAACCCTGTTTACATGGTCACCCCTTGTGTTTTTTACTGACATTGTGCAGTGAGGGGGCTCCTGGGATCGGCTGCAGTTCCCTGGGGGAGGTGGGACCTTCCCCCTGCTGCTGTAGCCCAAATCGAAGCGCTCCCTCTGGGCTGTCTTCCACCCCAGCTCTATCAGCCTCTCCGCCTGCGGGTGGCCCTGATCGGCTTGGAGGTGTGGAACCACAAGGACAAAATCACAGTCAGCCCCAACCCAGAGGTGACGCTGGACAACTTCCTGCACTGGCGGGAGTCGGAGCTGCTGCGGAGGAAGCCGCACGACAATGCCCAGCTGATCACGTAAGGACGGGGGGCCACCACCTCACCCCCCTCACGGCCCTGCTGCCACCCAGGGCACGTGGCCATGGCATCTCCATCCCACAGGGGAATCGACTTCCACGGCAAAACCGTGGGGCTGGCCAAGAAGCTGGTGATGTGCACCAGGGACTCAGGCGCTGTCAGCCAGGTGGGTCCTGCTGCCCGGGCACGCACCAGCAGGGCAGCAGCAGCCCCACACTCTGCCCTCCCTGCACTGTGTTTTCCAGAGCCACTTGCCTCCATCGGTTTCTAGCTTTCCTCCTCTGCAGCCTTAGGGATGGATTTGGTCCCTGGCACCTCCAACCCTTGAGTGACTTATGCCCAGAGCAGGGTCAGGGCTGCGGACACCCAGTTGGGTACCTGTGGAGGGCTCTGATACAGCTGAAGAGCCTCCCAGAGCAGCTCCATGGACACAGGGCTTCTCCAACCGCCTGTCAGGTGGCCAGGATTTGGTCTGCAGTTGTTCCTCAGCTGTCCTGGCTGTGCTTCCCAACCCTCCCCAGGTCTGTGGGAGTGGGAGCAGTCGGCCATGGGACCAGTGGTGGTCCAGCCCCACCACAAATCACTGTTTTGGAGAAATCGCTCTGTCTAAGCTCCCTGAGAGCCCCGAGATCCCAGCCTGGGGCTCCTCAGGTGCCATGGGACTGCATCCAGCTTTTGTTTTCCTTTACCTGAGCACAGCAGCATGAGGGACCTTGCACCGAGCCCTGGTGGGCCCCTGGGGATGCTGTGGAGAAACCACAAGAGCAGTTCACCCACCCTGCACTCCTTGTCCCTCAGGACCACAGCACCAACCCCATCGGTGCCGCGTCCACCATGGCTCACGAGATGGGGCACAACCTGGGCATGTCCCACGACGAAGATGTTCCCGGCTGCCACTGCCCCCTCCCCAAGGCTGACGGAGGATGTGTCATGGCAGGGAGCGTTGGGTGAGTGAAGGAGGAAGGGGAACATCCCTGGGCACCAAACATGTCCAGGTGTCCTCAGGCACTGTCCCAGTGGGGTGAAACCTGTGAGATGGGTGGGCATTCCATTCCATTCCATTCCATTCCACCCCACCCCACTGCAGATGCCTCCGAGCCTCTCGATGTCCCCCCAGCTCCTCCCTGGGCTGGTGGGCACCAATCTGGGCTCACGAGCGCCCGGTTTTGTGCCCCCCAGCCTGGTTTACCCGAAGCTGTTCAGCCGCTGCAGCGAGCAGGACATGTGGCAGTTCCTTGGGGATCCCCGGACCAGCTGCCTGCTGAACGCCCCCAGGGCAGACGAGCTGTACGGGGGGCCCGTGTGCGGGAACCAGTTTGTGGAGCGGGGAGAGCAGTGTGACTGCGGCACACCCGAGGTGGGGATGCTCTCCGAGGAACTGGGAAGGGGGGTGGAGGGAAGACACCTGAGACTTGTCCACCAGACTCTTTTCTTGCTTTGCAAGACTTGTTTCCCTTGTGTTCCTGATGCTTCTGCCAAAAAACAACTGGTGGGGTGCATTCACTACCAGGGCTGTGTGCCCCCCTTTATGTAGCTGGCTGGGATTTTAGCCTAGGAAAGGTGGATGTTCCCCCTACATGTCCTCCAAAGAAGTGTCCCAGGAAGGGACATCATGGCATGTTGTTCTTCAAGAGCTGTGCTCAGCTGTTCCTCATCCCCATCATGAAGGGGATTTGAGACAGCTGAGCGATTCCTCTGAGACAAACCCCTGGTCACAGCCTGCACTGGGACCTGAAACAATGCTCCCCTGAAACAGGGAGCACAGAGATCCTCCCTTTTCCCCTTCCTGGAGATGTGCAAGGATGCCCAGGCCAGGCCCCTCCTCTGCAAAAATCCCTTCAGGTTCTTTGGTTTGTTGTTGGTAATGGATGTAAAGAGGCAGCAGGAATGGTTCTCACCTGGCATGATGCTGTGGTTTTGCCCTGTGGCTCAGCCCATGGTGGCTACAGTGCTGTTGGCAACTGGTGACGTGGCAAGCTAGTCCCCCAGGGAAGGGTCTTTTGGGGGGCTCCCGGAAGGTTTTCAATCCATCCCTGTCTTGCAGGAGTGCTTGGACCGCTGCTGCAATGCCTCCACCTGCCAGCTGAGAGAGGGAGCTGAGTGTGCCCAGGGGGAATGCTGCCAGGACTGCAAGGTACTGCTGCCCACAGGGGACCAGCTCGTCGGGGAAGGGAGGTGGTGGGTGCACAGAGTGCACTGTCAGAGTGTCTGGATCCATGGGAGGCTGGGAGACGTTTCCCAGACCAGGGTTTGCTGTGCCGTGGTGCCTGCGTGGCTCTGGAGCTGTGAGACCATCCAGGCAGTGCTGACATTCCGTGCAGGTGAAGGCTGCAGGTGTGCTCTGCCGGGCCAGCAAGAACGACTGCGACCTGCCCGAGCACTGCACCGGCCTCAGTGCCGAGTGCCCTGAGGACGTGTTCCAGGAGAACGGCATCTCCTGCCAGAACGGCAACGGATACTGCTACAACGGGGGCTGCCCCTCGCACGGCGAGCAGTGCCGGGCGCTCTGGGGTGCAGGTAGCGGCCCCCCCTCCTTGCCCCACTTGCTGGGGGATGTGCCTGGAGCCCTTCGGGCTGTGGTGCCCTCCTGCATGAGCTGGGGCGCTGCTGCTGGTCCTAAAGTGTGGCCGCTGGTGCCAGCGCCTCCAGCTTGCTGCACCTCCATGTGACCCTTTCGGTGTGTCCCGCAGAGGCCCAGGTGGCTCCCGATGTCTGCTTTAAGCACAACAGCGAGCATCACCTCCACCTGCACTGCCTCACCGAGTACGGGAAGCGGCCCTGCAGCCCCAAGTGAGGAGAGGGGTTTGGGGGGGATTGTCCCTGCCTGGCCAAGCTCCGGCACTGCCGGTGCTCAGGAATGCGTGTCCTGCAGGGATGTGAAGTGCGGGACGCTGCTGTGCCTCAGCGACAACTCCAAGCCCATCCTCGGCAGCGGCTACTTCTCCTTCGGCCACTACTCCTTCGGCCGCTTCAACTGCAAGGCGGTCATCGCCGACGGCGAGGTGGCCGCCGAGCTCAGGCTGGTGCCCACCGGCGCCAAGTGCGGGAACGAGATGGTGAGTGCCGGGGCGGCGGGGGCTGGGTGACCGCGGGGCCCTGGCGGCCTCGGAGCCCCCTGCCTGCCCCGGTGCAGCCTCAGAGCCCCCCTGCCCGCCCCCAGGTCTGCTATGCCGGGCGCTGCCAGAGCCTGCTGGTCTACGGCGACAAGAACTGCTCGGCCAAGTGCAACAACCACGGGGTAGGCGGTGGGACCGCCCTCCCGCAGGGCTCAATCTCGGAGCATCCAGCGTGCCCATCACCCTGACGCTTCCCTCCCTCATCCCAGGTGTGCAACCACCGGCGGGAATGTCACTGCGACCCGGGCTGGGCAGCGCCCTACTGCGAGCAGGAGATTTCAGGGATAGCCCCAGGTATGGCACCCTCGGCTCCCCCGGCCCGATGCGTGTCCCGGGGAGGGAGCCTGGGGAGAGGCTGCTCCATGCTCAGGGGATGTCCCGACCCCAACCGCCCTGTCCCCACAGGGAGCAGCAGCGTGGTCCTGGCGGCCGTGCTGGCCGTGCTGGCACTGGCCAGCGTCCTGCTGGCCGGCGGCGTGGTGCTCCTCAGAGCCAGGAGCTTCCAGAAAGGGTAATTCCCTTCTCCCGCGCCCCGCTGCAGGGCTGAGCTCGAGGGGTACCTGGCACACAGGTGCCACAGCCACGTTGTCCCTGTGCCCCACAGGAGCTCTGCCACAGGCCTCGCCAACCCGCTGTTCCAGGAGGGCGGCCGGGCACGGCCCCCCCGGCGGCTGCTGTCCCGCCAGGACATCGGCCAGCCCAGCCTGGTCAGCAGCACGGTGGCCCCGCGGGCGGCCCGGGCCCTGGAGCCCCGCTCGCCCAGCCCCGTGCTGACCCTGCGGTCACCCGTCCCGCAGGGGACACCTCCGGCCTCTCCGAGACGGCCCCCGCAGGTAACCCCCCCCCGAGGCGGCCCCCAGCCCTACGTGCGTGGGGTGGCTCTGGGGGGCCCTTCCTCTGCCCCCTGCCCCTCTCCGGGTGCCCCCGGAGCCCAGGTGAGGGACTCGGGTGTCTCCTCCCGACAGGCGAAGCCGAAGCCGCCCCGCAAACCTCTCCCGGCGCTGAAGGGCAGGGCGCTGTGCCACGGCCAGGGGACACCGGGACCGGCCCTCCCACCCACACCCCCCTCGGCCTTTCAGCGGGGCGTCCCCCCAAAGGTGGCCCTGAAGCCGCCCCCAGCCCGGAGGTGACCCAGGACACCCCCTCTGCCCCCACGGCCGGCCCAGGAGGGCACAGCGGGGCGGGTGGCACAGCCGGGCCGCCACCGCCTCGCTTCCACCCTTACTTGAATTGCTGGCCCGAGCCTCCCCCGGGGGGGCATCAGTGTTTACAGATCTTTGTCGTGCCTTACTGGACTCCGCAGCCCCGTGGCTGTCCCAGGGAGAGCCGTCGGCCGGGGTTTCCCAAGGGAACCAGGAGCGGGACAGTGCCAGCTCCGGTTTGGATGCCAGCCCCACGTCGGTCCAGGCTCTCCCGCGCCCTGGGAGCCGCTGCCTTCTCTCCTGACGTCCTGAATGTGTCCTGCTCCTCCTGCCCCTTCCCTGCTGGGGCCACGGCGAGGAGCTCCTGGAATCCCAGGCAGGAGGAGCACTGCTCTGTGGGGACCCTGCCCTGGGAACACTGACCTGGCCGGGGACATCACACAAGGAGATGTCACCAGAGGCTGTGACAGGTCCAAGCTAGGCTTGGTTTCCCCACGGGGCTTTTATCTCTCAAGTTATCCCTGGAGTTACTGTTCTGAAAGGGAATTCCCTGGGAGCCTTTTTCCTGCAGCCATTAATTTATGACCCTTATGTGACCGTTTCGAGCCACCTGCTGTGAAAACAGGCCTCCCACTTTTTATATAATTTAGGTTGAAGGCTTTTATACCAATAAAGACTGAAGGTAGTGGTGTCATGAGGTGTCGCTGGGCAGCAGGGGACAGCGAGGTGGTGGCAGGCAGGGAGCTGTGTGGGGATCAGGGGAGGGAGAGAAGGTTTGGAGCTGAGCTCCCCAGTCCTGTGCCAGAGCAACAGGGGCCAAACAGCAGCGGGTTCTGGCAGTCACACAGAGGAGGCTGCCCAGGGGCTGCAGGATACTGCAGTGAGTCCCTCCGTGCTCAGCACCATCCTGGCCATGGTTTACTTTGAGCACAGGCTACTCATGGGGCTCCCAGGGTGGTAGAGGCTGCAGCGGGATGAGAGGTAGAGAGGGACCCCCCTCCATGTGCCTGCAGTGACACCAGCCTCAGGACACATAAAACCACTCAGAAAAATGGTAACAAAATAATTTTATTCTGCTTTATCAAAAGAACTCAACACCGTGAATGTAAACCTGACCATATGTATCGTGTTTCCATAAGGAGATGTGGATCCAGGGGCAGACCCCTTTAGTCACAGGCCCACACAGGCCCTTGGAACGGAGAGAAAAGCCAGTTCTAACCCACAGTCCCATGTCCCTGCTCACACCTGGGGCTCAGAGGGAAGCACAGCCCACCCTGGGGTGCTAAAGCTGTGGCAATGCCCCCCTGCACACCTACTGGGGCCTCTGCAGCAGCAGCTGGGCAAGCAGGGAGGGAGGGAGGAGGCTTTTGCAGAAGGCACAGAGCATCACACAAGCTGCTGCAGGACCTGGGACTACAGGAGCATCCCCCAGGGTCCCTCAGACCAGGCTGATGTCACCCAACCAGAGCAGGGGGACACTGAGCCAGTGACAGCCACTCAGGATGAAGCCATGCACCCACCTGGATAGTGCAGGGAGACCCAGCAAGGCACAGGTCCAGAGGGAAGAAAGCCCTTTCTGCACCGGCCTGGAAGGTTTTCCTGCTCCCTGCACGGGCATCTTGCTCTGGTCACTGCAGGAGAGCTGTGAGCTGCCTGGTTATCACCCCCAGCAGCTCCCCTCGTGCCCCTGGCACCTCCAGGCTGGCAGAACCTACCCTGTCCACCCATTCCTCATGCCCAGAGTGTCCAACCCCAGTGACACATGGAGAACAAGCCTACATCCCTGCCAGCATCCCCTCCAGCAGTGCTTCTGCTCCATAAAGTCTGCCCTCATACCAAAATCCAAGTGAAGTGGGTGCTGCCGGGGTGAGGAGAGGCCATGCCCCCATGCCAAGGGCCTGCTGCACCACTGAGGAGGTGGCAGCTCAAAGATGTGACTCCACTGCCTCCTCAAAGCCCCTCCCATGGGAGAAAGGGGACCCTGCAAGTCAAACAGCACTTCCAGGAGACATTTCAAACACCACAGCTACAAATTACACTGCCTTTCCTCTCCACACTGGTGCCCTGGGTCCCTGGCTCCTGCCATGGCTGGGCTGGAAGAGGAGCTGGTATTCTGGAGCAGAGCACCAACTGGGCCCTGGGAGTTTGCAGCCAGATAGAGGACAGACAGACCCCCTGAAACTACTGCCAAGTCCCACGGTTATGTCCTACCCTGCAGAAGGGGCAGGTCCAACACATCCCTGCTCTGCCCCAGACACAGAGGACAGGGAGCCAGGGCAGGAGCTGGGACAGCACAAGGCACCACGTGTTACCAAATTTCCTCAAGGAGACACTGCCACCCTCCAAGCCGAGCCACGTGTGGTGGGAATACAGCACTGCAAAGCCTGAGCCTGCAAAGCCACACAACTCGTCTGAGGACATCATCAGCACAGGTAAAGCTCAAGCCTCTTGTTTTGGGTTGAATGTTTCACTGTGGCAAAAGCTGAACACGTCCCTTCCGTTGCCACGAGGCTGCAGATGGTGCCAGGGACGCAAGATCTCAACAGGCAGAGTGCCTGGAGGGCCACCACAGGAGATCCTGCTGCCAGCACTGCTCGGGAGCAGCCTGAAGTCCTGCACTGCAGCAAACCTGTCCAGGGATGATAGGCCCAGGGACACACTCTCACCACGGCTGTTCAAGGACACACGAGGCAGGTCCCACTTCTTGGAGCAGTGGATTTTGCACAGGGGAGCAGTGATGACTCACCTACTTTGTAGCTGAGGTGTCAAACATCTGATCTGCTGCTCCGCAGGGTCCCTTCACTCTTCTCTTCCCCTTTACCTTGCCACCATGGCAGAGCAGTGGAAGTTCAGCCCCCTTCCCCTGCTGACCTAGAGGAAGGCTGGGATCTGGGCAGAGATTTCACAAGTTGGGATCTGGGCAGAGATTTCACAAGCTCTGTTCCCAACCAGCTGCTCCGAGGTGCTCCTGAAATCTGGTTTAGGATGCAAGGTGAGCCCCAGCCACGCAGCTGAAACACCCTACAGTCAGTCCCAGGGAGCTAGTGCAAGGCTCTTGCTTGGAGAGGGGAGTTGCAGAATCCCATCAGAGACCATCTGCTCCGAGTCATTACCTAGTGCTGCTGTCTACAGGAATATCATGGCTATGCAGATCCTATTCCAGTAACCTATTCCACACCAAACCATTCCTTGCCCTGAGCTGGAACACGCTGGCCAAGGAGAGCCCACTCCATGGGAGTCCTTGAGGAGAGAGAGAGCAATGGCAGGAACCTGCCTGGAGTCCACAAAATTAAGCTTCATGGGCAGGACGAAGGAAACCTCCTCTTCGCTCAGCCTCAGCCAGGAGCACTTGGAACGACCAGGGTGCAGCAACACAGCACTCAAAGCCACATCTCCTGCCTCCAGAGCAATGCCTGCTAAATAACTGCACCTACTCCGGAAGCCTTTCCCGGCGTCTGTCTTTTAATATTCCAGTATAGGTATGTTAGTACAGGATTATCCCTCCTTTGGAAGCACCAATTTAACAGGGGAAGAAACGGAAGAGGCAGAGCCCTCGCAATCTGTTGCTAGAAGAAAATCAACCCAACTGCCACCTATACACAAGATGTCCAGGCGTGTGCTGCGTCTGCCCCACCAGCCCAGGGCCACGTCCCCGACCACAGCCGGGCTTTGCTGCTGAGCCACACTGGGATTCCTCCTCCCTCCTCAGCCAGTGCTTTCCTTGCCTCTGAGCTGGCTTTCTCCAGAGGTCTCCGGGGTCTCCTGTGCAGGAAGGCTGGTTTGGTGGGCAGTCCTCGGGCTGGCCTGCTGGAAGGCACAGGACTCCAGGAGCATGCCGGGGATGCGGTCACCGAAGTACAGTTTGCTGTTGGCGGCTATGGCCTGGTACTTCATCAGCTCCAGGTATTCAGGGGTCAGCTTCAGCTACAGGAACAGAAACAGGGGCTGTCAAACACAACTTTCTGGGTGCTGCATCATTGAATACTGCATCAGGCCTTCTGGGATGCAGGCTGCTAAATCAAGTGTTTTTCCAGTGCTGCCCACCTGAAGCTCATCTCCTGTGCAGAGGGAAAGAGGGAGCGAGTCCTGTCCTGACCAGCTTCCCAGTGCTCACCTTATTGGCATCAGCCAGCTTCCGAGCAGTGTAGTACTCAGCATCAGCTTTGGCCTTCTCTCTTGCCAGGAACGCAGCATCTAACACGGCAGCAGAGGATGGACAGGAAAAAAAGTGTTAGGAAGTGAACAGTCCCACCACACTGAGCACCTGAGCCCTCATCCCACGGGGACCAGCTGACCCAGGAGTGCCCGTGACAGCTTGGCTGGCCCTGCACCCGCCCTGTGGCTTCCTGGAGCGTTCCTAGTGCAGTCTTGCACTGCTGCACCCTGGATGAGCTCTGCAGGACAGCCTGTGAGCCCAGGCCTGAGGTTCCCTTCCCTGCCATCCCCCCTCAGCTGCAAAATGACCCCAGCAGTGCAAGTTACCCTCAATCTCGGAAATCCGCTTCTCCGTTTCCTTCTCCATAATCTTCTGTTGGTAGTGAATCCTGGCCACCTGTGCAGCCTTCTCTGCCTCTGCAATCACAACGGGCTCGGCTCAGGAATCTGCTTCCCAGGGTGTGAGCACCAGCACCCCGACCAGCAGCTCACTGCGGGATCTGCCATACCAGGTCTGTTCCCTACTCCCTCCCTTCCTGCTGGGATCCTACAGTGCCAGCCTGGACTCCAAGCAGTACAGTTACAGGAAGAAAACACAGTGCTGATGTCTCCAGAGCTGATATCCCATTTCCCAGGGCGATCCCCCTGGCACACTGAGCTCCTAGCCCAGTTTTTGCAGTGGAGTGGCTGCAGGACAGAGGTGCTCACTGCTCTGCTGCCACGGGAGGGAGGTGGGACAGAGATACAGCAGCAAAGACACTCAGATTTTCAAAATGACTCCTGGTGCAGCCTGGCCGTGCCTCCCTCAGTTACCAGGGAATGCAGGAATGGCA